GATGGCTCAGCTAAAAAACAAACAAACAAACAAAAAAAACCTAACCATAAAATATCTAAAAGTATACACAAAGAAAATTACAAGGGAATCAAAATAGTTCACTACAAAAAATTAACTAATCACAAAAAGAGGCAGTAATAGAGAAAATGAGAGACAAAAGTATAAGATATAGCGAAAACGAAAAGCAAAATGGCAGCAGAAAGTCCTCCTTTATCAGTAATTATTTTAAATGTCAATGGATTGAACCATCCAATCAAAAGGCACAAACTAGCAGAATGGGTAAAAAAACATACATGATCCAACTACATGCTGTCTACAACAGATTCACTTTAGATCCAAATACACAAAAAGTGAAAGGATGAAAAAAGATATTCTATGAAAATCGCAATCAAAACACAGGTGGTTATACTTATTTCAAACAAAAGACTTTACATGAAAAATTTTAAAGAAAGACAAAAAATTCACCATATATAATAAAAGGAATAATTCATTAGGAAGATGTAATAATTATATATCCAACAATAGAGTCCCAAAGTATGTGAAGAAAACACTGAAAAAATAGGAGAAATAGAAAGTTTTACAAATAGTTCAAGACTTCAATATCCCACTTTCAATAAAGGATAGAACATCTATACAGAAAATCAATAAGGAAAATAAAGGAATTGAACAACACTATATACCACCTAAATATAACAATCATATATAGAACACTTCACCCAACAACAGCAGAATACACATTCTTCCCAAGTACATGAAGAACATTTAAAAGGACAGACCATATGTTAGGTCACAAAACAAGTGTCCAAAACTTTTTTAAGTGAAATCATATAAAGTATCTTCTCTAAATACAATGGAAACAAGCTAGAAGTCAGTAACAGAAGGAAAACTGTAAAAATCACAAACATATATAAATTGAACAAAACACACCTTTAAAAAATCAATCTGTCAAAGAAAAAAAATCACAGGAGAAATTACAAATACTTTGAGATGAAAAAAAATCAAAAGACATTAAAATTTAAGGGATATCTTGAAAGCAGACCTCAAAGGGCAAATTATTGCTATAAATAACCATACATTAAAATAGAGGAAAGATTTCAAATTAATAACCTCACTTTATACCTCAAGAAGCTAGAAATTAAGATCAAAGTGAACCAAAACCTAAAGAAATACAAAGATTATAGCAAAAATAAATGAAATCTTAACAGAAAAACAACAGAATTAACAAAACCAAACGTTGATTCTTTGAAGAGATCAATAAAACTGACAAAACTTCAGTTAAACTAAGACAAAAAGAAAAAGCACAAATAACTAAAATCATAAATCAAATTGAAGCACAAACATTACAAAAATAATTATAAAAACTATTATGAGCAATTGTATGCTAAAAAATTGGATAACCTAGATCAAATGGATAAATTCCAAGAAAGATACGGATTACCTAAACTAACTCAGGAAGAATCAGAAAATTTGAACAGGCTTGTTAAGAGATTGATTCAGTAATCAAAATCCTCCCAAGAAAATAGTCAGAAGGCTTCACTAGTGAATTTTACCAACATTTGAAAAATAATTAAAACCTTTCTTCTCAAACTCTTCAAGAAATATGAGGAGAAAACACGCCTATCTCAGTCTCTCAGGCCTGATAACAAGGCCAGAAAACAAAATTCTAGAAACCAAATCCAATAGTCTATTAAAAGGGTTATAACCAAGTAGAATCTACCCTAGGAAAAGCCAGGGTGATTCAACATAAAAAATAAATTCTTGCAAAACATCACAGTAACCATCAACAAAATGAAAAGACAACCTGCTGATTCGGAGAAGATATTACCCAATGATACATCTGATAAGGGATTAATTTCTAAAATTTATACAACTTAACACCAAAAACACCCCAAACAATCCAACTAAAAAATGGGCAGAGGACATAAACAGGCATTTCCTCCAAGAAGACAAACTGCCAACAGATGCACGAGTATAAAAAAATGCTCAGCTTCACTAGCTATTAGGGAAATACAAATGAAAATCACGATGAGATGCCAGCTCACATCTGTTAGAATGGCTATTAACAACAAGAAAAATAAAAAGTGTTGGAGAGGTTGTGAAGAAAAAGAAACTATTGGTGGAAATGTAAACTGGTACAGCCACTATGGAAAACAGTATGGAGGTTCCTCAAAAAATTAAGAATAGAATTACCACATGACCCAGCAATTCCTCTTCTGGATATCTACCCCAAAATCTAAAAACACTTATCTGTCAAGATGTATGTACCCCTATGTTCACTGCAGCTTTATTCACGGTGGCCAAAACACCGAAACAACCCAAGTATCCTGGATGACTGGATAAAGAAGATGTGGTACATATACAGAATGGAATATTACTTGGCCATAAGAAATGATGAAATACTGCCATTTGCAACAATGTGGATTCATCTTGAGATTATTATGCTAAGTGAAATAGGTCAGAGAGTAAAGAACCATATGATCTCACTCATATGTGGGATATAAAACTGAAAATAACAAATGAACAAGACAAACAGAAACAAAAACGTAGATACAGACAACAGTTTAGTGGTAACCACAGGGTAAGGAGATATGGGTTGGTAGAGGAGGGAAAAGGGGGTCAAGTATATGGTGATGGAAGGAGAACTGAATAGGTGGTGAACACACCGCGCGATATACAAATGACGTATTATAGAAATGTACACTTGAAACCTAAATAATTTTACTAACCAATGTCACCCCAATACATTTAATAAAAATTTTAAAAATAAATATGAAAAAAATAGACGATTGGAGAAAGAAGATGTGGCACATATATACATTGGAATATTACTTGGCTATAAAAAAAGAATGAAATCTTACCATTTGTGACAATATGGATGGAACTAAAGGGTATTATGCTAGGTGAAATAAGTCGGACAGAGAAAGAAAAATACCAGATGATTTTACTTACATGTGGAATCTAAAGAACAAATGAACAAACAAACAAAAAACAAACAGACCCATAGATGCACAGAACAAAGTGATGGTTGCCAGATAGGAGGGAGTTGGGGAGCTGGGTGAAAAAGGGCAAGGGATTAAGAAGTACAAATTGGTAGTTACAAAATAGTTACAAGAATATAAAGTACAGGATAGGGAATAGTCAATAATATTGTAGGTAACTATGTATGGTGCCAATTTATGGGGAATCACTCTGTAAATTATATAAATGTTTAACCACTATGCTGTACACCTGAAATTAATATAATATTGAATGTCAACTATAATTAAAAAATGAAATTAATTTAAAAAACAAAATATGTAAAGAAAAGGAAAGCAATGAAACAGGTAGATGCTAGGCGTTTGTGTGATGGAGGGTGAATACAGAATGACTGTTTTAACAGATGCAGGGTTTTCTTTTAGCATGATAAAATGTTTTAGACCTAAGTTGCACAACATTATGAATATACTAAAGTCAACAGAGCAGTACACTTTGAAATGTTATGTGAATTTAATGGTACGTGAATTTCACCTCCATTTAAAAAATCAATTAAAAAATAATTCTGCAACAAGAAAAAACAAAGCTACAATGGCTATTTTAATATCAAACAAAGACTTCAGAAAAAGAAATATCACTAGGGTTAATGAGAGATATTACATACTAATAAAGGAATATACCTAGGCAAAGTAACAATCCTAAATGTGTATGTATTCAACAAAAAAAAATTTAAAATACACAAAGTAAACACTGACAGAAATGAAACATCCAACTTCAAGAGATATTCAAGTGTTAAAACATTTAAGACTTGTGACTGAAACTTTCTGAAACAAGCATTCATGAATGGGTGATTCTTTGTTTTAAAAAATATATTTTTTATCTGACCTGTAAAACCACTTCCACATAAATTAAAACTCTTAGTCAAGAGCGACTGTATTGTACTGAACTTTCTCCGGAAACTTGGAAAAAGTAGAAAACAGAACCCCTGAAGATTAGGAAGTCATCTATACAGAAAGCAACATGATAATAGCAGAAAGAACATCAGCTGTAGATTTGTTCAAAGAAAGGGAGAAAAAGAAAAAGAAACCTGAATTCAAAATTGGTTCAGCAAGCTACAAGCTACATGATCTTAGGCAAGTATTTAACCTCTGTAAAAGACTATTTCCTGGACAAAATAATGACCATAATACATAATTTGCTTGATTATGATAAAAATTAAACATGAAAATATGCAAAAATCTAGAGTTGTGCTAGGTGTTGAATATAAATAGGTACACTTATATGATCATCCTTTGCCAAATGTGTGGCCTGGCACATTATATAAAGTCAGCATAAGAAGACATAATAAATGGTTATTCTCCGCCTAGTTTTATATATGCATCTGATTTTTAAAAGAAACATGATCATATATCCTAAAATATGTACAAGAAAGTTTAAAGCACTAGTTTTATAACTATGAACACTCATAATAATATGAATGCCCATCAAAAGGGGATTATGTTAGGTAAAGGATGGTACACTCAAACAATTCAATACTGTATCACCATTAAAAAAGAATAAGGTAGATCCGTATGTGCTAACATGAAAATATCTCTAAAGTATTTAACATATGATAAAAATGGTAAAAGAAGACATTCAAAAGAGTAAATATACCACTCAAATTTTAGGAACATAAGAATATATATATACATGTACACACACACGCACATACACACACACAGATGTGCATGTTTGTATGTGTGTACTAGCATATGTCAGATACATTTTCAGAAAACTAGAGATGCAGTGGTTAATAGTGTTACCACTGAGGAGAGGAACTGAAGATTGGAGAAGTAAAGAAAGGTACACCTTTCTTTGCCATATGCACCTTTTACTATTTCATCATTTTCTCTTTTAAAATGTAATTTTTTTAAGGTCTATTCAAAATGAATTCAGTTGCTTTACCCAAAGTTTCTGTGGTTATTACAAATACTATTTGTAATTTTTTTTTTAATTCGTGTTTTTACTAATTTTGTAAATAACATTACCTGAAATGATTTGACAGGGGCATGTGCTTCAGTTGCAGGTGTGGGTTTTGGAATGCTTTCAATCAACTCCAAAATCCCTTGCAGTTTTTTATCTGAGATTCGTAAAGAAATCAGTGGTAACTTCCCAAAAATCTTGAATCTGTTTCAAAAAGACAGGAATCATTACAAAGCAACTTTCAATCTGATTTCAGTGCATTAATTAAGATGACTGTTCCCGTAAATTATCCAAAATTAATCAAATGTGATTTTAGCACTAAAATTATTCACAGTCCATGGACAAATTATCAAATAATTGCCACTCAAATTTACATTTTACCTTACTGACCAGTCTTATTGGATGAACTAACCTTGTTATTTTTCAGACTCATTTTCTAATGTTATTATGTTTATTATCCCTTTATTATTTGCAAACAACAGTTGGTATCTCTATTTATCAAGTGTTTATGACATGGTAGGCATTAAGAAAAGCACTTGATATGTATCATCATAACAGTCCTCACAACCTATGAGGCAGACAACCTATTTCTATTTCTGTTCCGTTTCATATAAATTCCTATATGTACGTGGTTCCTATCAGGCAACTAAGGCTTAGCAAGTTCAAATTAACTTGTCCAAGAGATTATACATCTAAAATCATGTTTAAAAATCAGGTCTGACTAAAAAGGAAAAAAAAATCACACAATTATATAAATAGATGCAATAAGATAAAATCTAACACACATTCATAATTTTAAAAAAACCTCTCAGTAAACTAGAAGAACGTCTTCAATTTGATAAAGAATATGTTCAAAAAACCTACAGCTAACATCATACTCAGTGGTAAGAAACTCAACATTTCCCACTAAGATTAGGTACAAAGCAAAGATGTTCCTCTCACTACCCCTTTTCAAGATCATACTGAAAGTCCTTGCCAATGCAGTAAGACAAAAAAGGAAATAAGGGACATACAGATTGGTAAAGAAAACATAAAACTGTCTTTGTTTTCTGATGAAAGAATCATCTATGTAGAAAACCCAAAGAATAAATTTAAAAAAAACAAAAAACCTCCTGGAACTAATAAGCCATCCTTGTAAGGCTGCTGGATACAAAGTTAACACAAAATAGTCAATCCCTTTTCTATATACCAACAATGGAAAACTGGAATTTGAAACTAAAAACAGAATACTATTTATATTAGCACCCAAAAAAGAAATACTTAGGTTTAAATCTAACAAAATATATATAAAGATCTACATGAGAAAAACTGTGGAACTCTGATGAATAAGATCAAAGAACAACATAAATGAAGAGTTATTCCATATTCATGAATAGGAAGACTCAATATTGCCAAGATGTCAGTTCTTCCCAAACTGATCTACAGATTCAATGCAATCACAAACAAAATCCCGGGAAATTATTTAATGTATATTAACAAAACAATTCTAAAATTTATGTAGAGAGTCAAAAGACCCAGAATACCAACATAATATTAAAGGAGACAAGCAAGGTTGGAGGATTGACATTGCCTGACTTCGACTTACTGTAAAGCTATAGTAAGGCACTGATATGGGTGAGAGAATAAATAAATCAATGGACCAGGATAGAATAGGCCTCCATAGGGCCGGCCGAGTGGCAGTTGGTTAAAAGTTGGCTTGGGAGCGCCAGCTCTGAGCAGCAGGGCCCCGGTTCGGATCCCACATGCGGTCCAGTGACGCTGCGCCCTGTACAGCCAAGATGGTGAACAACAGCTCAACCTGGAGCTGGACTGCTGTGAGTCGCTGGCGATGGAGTAGGCTGCAGTGGAGCTGCAGTGGGCTGCTATAAAAAGGTACAGTAAGTGGCAGGCAGCCAGTGTGAGCGGCTGGCAGCCAGAGCGAGCTGCCAAGAGCTGCCGTGAGCAACATCCAGGGCCCAGCGACCGATCTGCCTCACCCGTGAAGAACGCAATGATAATACCAACATGGGCCAGTGAAGTGATGTCTGTTCCCCTTCCCTGATTCCCAACGCTGTTCCCCTCCTCCAATTCCCCAATAATATATTAAAAAAAAAAAAAGAATAGACCTCCATAAACATAATCAACTGACATGGGACAAAGAAGAAAAGGCAATACAATGGAGCAAAGGCATTCTCTTCAACAAATGGTGCTGAAATAACAGGAATCCATATGCAAGAAAAATGAATCTAGACAACAGACCTTACACCCTTTATAAAAATTCAAAATGGATCACATGTAAAATGAAAAACTACAGAACTCCAAAAAGATAAATTCCAGAAAACCTAGATGACCTTAGGTATGGCCATGACTTTTTAGATACAAAGGCATAATTCATGAAAAAATAATTGATAAGCTGGACTTCATTAAAATGAATACTGCTCAAAAATGTCAAGAGAATCAAAAGGCAAGCCACAAATGAAATGAAAGCATTTGCAAAACACACATTTCATAAAGGAATGTTATCCAAAAATATACAAAGAATTCTTAGAACTCAGTAACATAAACAATCGATTGAAAAATGTGACAAAGATCTTAACAGATATCTCATCGAAGAATGAAGATGTTCCACATCACATATCATCAAGAAAGTACAAATTAAAACAACAAGGAGACACCATGCCACACCTTCTAGAATGACCAAAATAGGGACTACTGGCAATATCAAATCATGGCAATGATGTGGAACAAACAGCAAGAACTCTCATTCATCGTTATTGTTAATACAAAAGGGTACAGCCACTTTGGAGGAAGTTTGTTTGGTTCTTTCTCGCAGAAGTAAACATAGTCTTACCACACAATCCATCAATTGCACTCCTCAGTATTTACCCAAAACTGCTGAAACTTACACCCCCACAAAAACCGGCACACAAATGTTTATAGTATCTTTACTCATAATTTTATGTGAATAGAGCTTATCCACATAAACTTTATATTCTAACTTTATTGCCAAAATTTGGAAGTAACCAAGCTGTCTGTCAGTAGGTGAATGAATAAACAAACTGCAGTAGACAATGGAATATTATTCAGAAATGAGCTATGAAGTCATGAAAAGACATAGAAGAACCTTAAATGCGTATGACTATGTGGAAGATGCCAATCAGAAAAGGCTACATACTGTATGATTCCAACTATATGATATTCTGGAAAAGGCAAAACTATGGAGACAGTAAAAAGGTGTTTGCCAGAGCTTGAGGGTGGTAAGGGAATCGAAAGGTGGATAACAAAAGATTTTAGGGAACTGAAAACACTCTATGCGATATACTCTATATGATGTTATAAAGATGGATACGTGTCATTACACATTTGTCCAAACCCACAGAATGTACCACACCAAGAGTGAATTGCAAATGTAAACTATGGACTTTGGGTGATTATGATGTGTTAAATGTAAGTTCATCAATTTTAACAAATGCACCACTCTGGTTAGGGATGTTAACGGGGGAGGCTGTGCAAGGGTGGGTGTGGGGCGTATACAACAAATCTCTGTACCTATCTTCCTATCAATTTTCTGTGACCCTAAAACTTCTCTAAAATAAATAGTCTCTAAAAAATAATAAAAGACTGACATCAAAAAGAGAGTAAATTTTCATTCACCATTGTTATCCCTGTACTTTTCCTAAAACTTACTTTTTCAATTCATGCACACTGACTACTAAGGTTATCATTCTAAAAATATATCTGAATTCCTAGAGAAAATTATAAGCTTTCTTTTACTTCCAACAGCCTAAATATTTGTAATTAATCCCATACACACTAGTTTAATTTAGGAACCTATTATAGATTAGTCTCGTAAATGTATCTAAACTTCTTTTCAATTTCTTTAAATATGCCTGTACAATCTGAAAATGACAGGCACCAAAATACTACCTCCCAAATAATAGCTTCCTTTTATTTGCCTTCAACTTTCTAAGCTCAAGCTTAAAAAAACAAAAACAAATAAAAAAACACCTGGCTGATACTTGTAGAGTTCCAGAAGTTTATATATAATATTTATACTGTTTACAACTTACAAAATTGCTATCAAACACTTCTTGGGTTTCATCTTTCTAAATAATTATAGTTTCCACCTGTGATTATTTTGGGTACACTTCTCTGGTCCTAACCTATAGCCACTTTAGTATCATTAGAATACTAGTTTAAAGAGCTCCCCTGGTGTCTTTTCCCTTTTACTGGTCATGTTTGGCTGTAATGCACTAGACCGAAGGCTGGCAAACTGTGGTCATGGGTTAATTCAGCCTGCTGTTTAATTTTGTAAATAAAGTATTACTGGCACACAGCCATGCCAATTCATTACGTATTGTTTACGGCTGCTTTCATGCTAAACAGCAGAGTTGAGTAGCTGTGACAGAGACAGTACGGACTTGAAGCTTACAATGTGTATTATCTGGTCCTTTACAAAAAAAGTTTGCTGACTGATACATTGAATTAATTTCACATGATCTTGCATTCCTCTATCTATCTAGACATTTTAATAAACTATTTTAATTACTGATACAAGTATACATATTCCCTTCATTATGGGATATAAATTCTCCCTAATCATATACTAAAAGAAGAATCCAAAGCAAGGTAAGTTAACCGTTTTTTCCCTCAGTAATAACACTTTTTTCTGGCATCCCGTAACTTCCTAATTCTCTATAGGTACTAAATAAAAAGCAATAAAAATATACTGAAAATTAAATAAATTCATACATATACATTTACAACAGACAATCACATACATCTTTGTCCTTATCACACGCTGACAAACTACAAGAACTATTAGACAACGGCAAACAGGCAGGAGGAAATCTGAACAGGAACCAAAGAACCTAAGCCTTGTACTTAAAATCAAACTATACCTCTTGCTGGATTGTAAAAAAACAACAAAATGTGTAGAATGGCTTTCTTTCCTTCTACCTCAATCAGATTGCTGACATTCATTCCTCCGCCTTAAGATTCTCAGAATGCAGATTGATTCTCTAGAAGGAAGTCTAGGAGAACAAGACTTAATATGCTGCGTAATGTTTGCTAGTGGAAAGAGTCATTGTAATTTAAAAGGCCACAAAGCAAGGTGTAGGTTTCTCTTAGGTCTCTCCCTTTCACTTGGCGAGAATATTAAGTAGTCGGAACCTGGTGTATACCATAGCAGGTGGAAAGGCCAGAATGTAACTATTTCCCTCTATTCTTCTTTCTATACTTGAGGCACAAAGCCTTGAGCACTACTATGTGAGTATTCTTTTGTTGTATCTCTAGTAACAATTTCCTTGAAACAGATAGATGTTAGATGTGCCTTTGGTTAAATTTTTTTAATTAAATTTATTGAGGTGACAGTGGTTAGACTAAAAAATAACAGAAAAATCAACAAAATTAAGAGGTGGTTCTTCAAAAAACATCAACAAAACTGAAGGCCCTTTAGCTCTAGACTGAGGAAAAATAACTGAAATCACAAATGAAAGTGGGGGCATTACTACCAATTCTACAGAAATAAGAAAGCTATAAGAAAGTACTATGGACAATTTTACACCAACAAATTGAATAATTTACAATAGATGAAGTACAGAAATTCCAAGAAACACAAACCCAAAACTACATTGTAAAAAAAAAAAATCTGTAGAGACCTATGGTGATTAAATCAGTAATCGAAAATCTCCCAACAACAACAAAGAAAACCCATGATCAGATAGTTTCACTGGAGAATTCTACCATACATTTAAAAAAGTATAACACAAATCCTTCTCAAACTCTTCCCAAAAAAATTAAGAGAAAGGAATACTTTCTAACTCATTCTAAAATCAGTATTATTTTGAAACTAAAGCCAGACAAAAACACTACAAGAAAACATAGAGCAGTGTTTCTTATGAAAACTGATGCAAAAATCCTCAACAAAGTACTAACAAACAAAATTCAACATCACATTAAAAGTATTATACACCAAAACCCAGTCAGACTTATTCCTAAAATGCAAGGATGGCTCAAAGCATGAAAATAGATAAATATAATACACCACCTTAGTAAAATAAATAAAAATAAAACGCATGATCATTTCACTTGAAGAAAAAGCATTTGAAAAATTCAGCATGCTTCTATGATAAAAACACTCAACGAATTCAGAGTATAAGGAAACCACCTCAATATAATAAAAGTCATATAAGAAAACCACAGCTAACATACTCAATAGTGAAAAATTAAAAGCTTTTCCTCTAACCTCAGGATAAAGAATGACGGCTTGAATCACTTCTATTCAACAGAGTATTGGAAATGTTAGAAAGGCTAATTAGGGAAGAAAAATTAAAAAGCCATCCAAATCAGAACAAAAGAAGTAAAATTAACTCTGTTCATATTTGGATTTATATCTGTTCAAGGATGAAGTGATCTTATATGTACAAAACCCAAACAATTCCACAAAATATTATAACTAATAAATTTAGCAAAGTTGCAGGATACAAAATCAACCCAGAAAAATCAGTTGAGTTTTATATACTAATCATGAACAATTCAAAATGGAAATTAAGAACACAATTCCATTTACAATAGCATGAAAAACAATACATTTAAACAAGAAAGTAAAAGACATATATTGAAAACTACAAAATGCTGCTGAAAGAAATTAAAGAATAAACAAAAAGACATACTGTATTAATGGATAAAAAGACTTAATATTAAGATGTCACAACACAAAGCATTTACAGATTCAATACAATCCATAGCAAAATCTCAATGACATACTTTGTGAAAATAGAAAAATCCATCCTAAAATTGATATGGAATCTCAAGGACTCCAAATAGCCAAAACAATCTAGAAAAAGAACAAAGTTGGATGAATTACACTTCCTGATTTCAAAATTTAGTATTGTAGAAAGCTTCAGTAATAAAAACAGTTGGTACTGGCATAAAACAAACACACAGACCAAAGGAATAGAACAGAAAGTCCAGAAATAAACCCTTACATATATGACTAAATGATTTTCGACAAGGATACTAAGACAATCTTTTCAATAAATGGTGCTGGGAAAACTAGATATCCACATCCCAAAGTATGAAGTTGGACCTTTACCTTACACCATATCCAAAAATTAACTCAAAATAGATAGAAGACCTAAACATATGAGCTAAAAGTATAAAACTCTCTGAAAAAAATATATAGGAAAAGCTTTAGGACACTGTATTTGATAATAATTTCTTGGGTTTGACACCAAACACACAGGCAACAAAGATAAATTATACTTCATTAAATTTAAATTTTTTGTGTATCAAAGAACACTGTCAAAAAAGTGATAAATGAGGCAATCCACAAAATTAAATATTTTCCAATTATATGTGATAGTTAATATACAGAATATATTAAAAACAAAACAAAAAACTCCTACAACTCAACAACAAAATAATCCATTAAAAGATGGGCAAAGGACTTGAATAGGCATTTCTCCAAAGAAATATATAAATGGTCAATAAGTACATGAAAAATGCTTAACATCACTAATCATTAGGGCAATTCAAAACTCTAATTAGATACTACTTCACACCTATTAGGATGGCCGTTCTTTAAAAAATGCAGAAAATAGCATAATGTTGGTAAAGAAATGGGAGAAATGAAACCTTTATGCATTGCTGGTAGGAATATAAAATGGTGCAGCTGCTATGGAAAATGGTAGGGCAGTTCTTCATAAAATTAAAAAACGAATTACGATATTATCCAGCAATTCCTTTTCTGGGTATATACCCCAAAAAAAAATTAAAGCAGGGATTCAGATTTTTGCATACCAATGTTCACAGCAGGCATTATTTCAACAGCCAAACATTAATACAAGAACCCAAATATCCATAAACAGATGAATAAACAAAATCTGATATATACTTGTACATCCAATGAATATTTTTCAGCCTTAAAACAAATGAAATTCTGACATATGCTACAACATGAATCAACCCTGAAGACGTTATGTAAAATAACCCAAACAGAGAAGGACAAATATTATAAGATTCTACTTATGCGAGGTACAGTTGACCCTTGAATAATGCAGGGGATTAGGGATGCCAACCTCCCTTGCAGTCGAAAATCCTCATATAACTTAACTTGGCCCTCCACATCCATGGATTTCCAATACGGATCAAAAACAATGTTTCTGATCCAGGGTTGGTTGAATCTGCAGATGCAAAACCTGAGGATACAGAGAACTGCTGTACATTTACTGAAAAAAATCTGCATATAAGAAGATCCGAACAGTTTAAACCCCTGGGGTTCAAGGGTCAACTGTATCTACATAAGTCAAATTCATAAAGACATAACATAGAATGGCGATTGTCATAAGCTAGGGGGAGCGGGGAGGGGACATTAATATTTATAAAGGATACAGGGTTTCAGTTTGGGAAGATGAAAAAGTTGTGGTGATGGTTGCACAACAATGTGAATGTACTGTTATATTTTAACCACACACACACACACACACACACACACACACACACACACACACACACACACAAAAATCAATCAATGGTATTTCATTAGCTACAGAATTACCAAGAAAATCTATAATCACATAAAACAGACAAGACATACTTAGGCATCCTTATGTCCATGAATACCATGGCCTTAGAGAGTTCCACGTTGAAGTGCAGAGGTACCAAAATATGCTGTTTGGATACTTTGAGTTTTCGTGCTTCTTTCCAATTATCACCTAATTACAAAAAAATAGTACATATTTAACACATGTATAATTTGAAAAACATACTAAACCTAAAATTACTGTTAATACTTCATAGTCACACACTGCATGATACAGGGGAATCTTCCCACATCTAGATAATCTTAAAACCCCATTCCCAGGAACACACAATCAACAGGTAAATACTTTTCCTTTCATTTTCCTTCAGCTGCTTCACAAGACAATCTACATTTTAACAGCAAAAAGTGCTTAATAAAAATACATTTTAGGGCCGGCCGAGTGGCGCGATGGTTAAGAACTCGCTTGGGATGCCAGAGGGCCCCGGTTCGGATCCCACATATGAGGGCCAGTGACACTGCCCTCTACAGCTAAGATGCTGAACAACAGCTCAACCTGGAGCTGGGTTGCCATGAGTCGCCGGCGACGGCGTAGTGTGGGGAGCCATGGTTACAGGTAATTCAGAGCCTTACAGACTGGCTCAGTTAATGCTTAACCTGTTTCTGCTCCTAAGGCATTGTCTCTGCCTGCACCTGGAGAGTGTTTACAAGTTGTTGAGGTATGTGGTGAGGATGGCCAGTTCCTTAGGAGATACTATAGATAGATGGCTATCTTGGTTAATGGAAGAAAGTGTCCTGGGAAGCTAATCCCCTAAAGCCCCCCTGATCTTTAAGTCTCTAGTAGATAGTTAATGATCTGCTTCTGTATGAGGTAATGCGTAGTTGTACCTGCAGTGTTGCACGTACTCAAACTGCATATATTGGTGAGGAAAAATAAACTCAGTGCTTCACCATCAGTGAAGACCGGCCGAATCAACAATTGAGTGAGTGTCTCTTTCTTTAATTCCCGCTCCCCCCTTCAGGTACTGATCGACTCGTGGCGGCTGGCCTGCCATAGCGTAGGCTGCAGCCCCTGTGGCAGTGGGTGGCCATGGGCTACCATGTGTAGCCAGCAGCCAGCGTGAGCGGCCAGCAGCCGCAGTGAGCGGCCGTCCAGAAGCCGGCGACTGATCTGCCTCACCAGGGAAGAGCGCAATGACGGTGCCAACTTGGGCCAGTGAAGCAACATCCTCCACAACTAGACTGAAGAACAAAAAAAATGACAGCAACTTGTCTGTTCCCCTTCCCCCAATTCCTCAGCACTGTTCCCATCCCCCCAATTCCCCAATTAAAAAAAAAATCTTTAAAAAAAAAAAAACATTTTAATCAGATCTGTGCATTCACTGATAATCACTACACCAACCAGATACCTTACCTGAAAAATAACATAGCTCTAGGGGAATAATGGGTAAGGTAGAGAAGAATGCAGTTCTTCACTATTAACGATTAAAAGCTACGATTTATTCAAAGTTTATAACAGCACTATTCTAGGCAATGTTTAAACTTTCATTTAATTTTCACAATGATGTATAATCATTCCATTTATAGAAAATGGGACTCAAAAGAATTTATAACTGGCTTAAGGTCAAAGGGTAGTGAATAATAATGCTGAAATTTACAACAAAGTCTGCTAACATGTGACCCTCTTGTAACCCTCACTGCAGTTCAATAAGAAAAATAGCTAACTGACAGCATAGCCTTAGAACATTAAATAGGCAATAAAAATCATGAATTCAAGTGCCCAAAATATTACTGGTAAACGGAAGGACAAATCAAGATATAAAACTATGTAAGTCATATAAAAAATGCATTCACAAATATTCCCACTCATAAACACCATACAAGCACATCCCATATACTCACAGGCACATATATTTTAAAAAAACAACAAAAGAATATGCACTGAAATACATATATATATATATATATATATATATATATCCTACACACACACACACACACACACACACACACATATATGTATTACCTCCTTTGAACCTAATAATCCTATGAGTCAGATAAAATCCTCAGTCAAGGAAAACCAAGCCAATGAAAGATTACACTTTCAGAGATAGGTAGTAAAATGGACTTTTTTACAATTTTTAAATTCCAACAGCATTGTGGTAATATTTCCTTCATTTCTCAATTTACAGGTTAAAAAAAATAAGATATTTAAAGCCTGTGTTTGAGTATTTATCAAGAGAATCTATGAACATTATATAAAGTAACCCAAGGTCACAAAACCTTGCTCAAAATGTTTAATTAAGAATATGTTAATACTTATCAAAAACATTCCAAGAAATTCCAATAATTTTCAGACACTAATGATACATTTAAAAAATTTTTTCACAAAGCATGTCACTATCTTAAATATTAAATATAGTTAATGGACTTCAAAAACTAGTGACCAAAATGTATCAAACATACCAAAACATAGTAATTTATTCCCTGAAAATAAAATTCATAAATTTTCTACAAATTTGCCACCCGCTATACTTCTGGGCTCCTTCTACACCAACCAGAATATAATAAAAACACAAACCAACTGTATTTCCCTCAAGTAATTATAGTTAAAAAAAATAAAATCAAAATGTTCCAGTATAAATTAACATTTTAAATAACCATTACTTTGGGTTTTCTGTTGCTTCTCCTCTCATTAGTTAGCTCAGATAATTAAAATCTGACCATATACATGCATATAGAGCTCTGAAACAGCCAGCACTCCACCTTTGTTGAGTTATCTGAATGATGGCTAACACTCCAAGGATTCAGAAGCAATATAACACAGCAAAAAGACGGCTCAATTAGTCCAGGATTCTCACTATCATCTAGAGCAGCGGTTCTCAACCTTTCACAGGGGTCGCCTAAGACCATCGGAAAACACATATTTTCGATGGTCTTAGGAACTGAGACACCGCTCCTCTATCCGTCTCCAGGCCCACATGCAGATACGCCCACATACGAGTACCCGGCGACCCCTGTGAAAGGGTTGTTCGACCCCCAAAGGGGTCACGACCCACAGGTTGAGAACCACTGCTTTAGTGGCTCTTGACAAGTGAATTGCTGGCTCTGTTGACTTCATCTAAAAAACTTCATCTGTATCAGAGACTCCTGATCAGCACACCAAAGTGAATGGGGTTAAAGTATGCCTAAGACAGTAACCACCTCAGCCTGTGATTGGCCATTTACAGCAAGGGCAGTCAGAGCCTCTAGTCTGGTTGCCTCGTCCCATGAACAGTCTCTTCTGGTTATCGCACTCTGTAACACAAATATTTTTAAAAAGTGCCAATATTTTCCAACCCTGTCCAAAAGTTGGAAAATACTGGTACAGATCAGGATTTCACAATCTCAGCACTACTGACATTTGGGCCAATTAAGTCTTGTGGGATGATGTTCCTCTATATTGTATGATTAGTAGCATCCTAATCTCCATCCACTAGATACTAGTAGTGCCCCCACTGTCCACTTGTGACAACCAAAAATGTCTTCAGACATTGACAATGGCTCTTGCAAGGTAAAATCGTTCCTAGTTGAGACAGTGCTCCTATCTACTGTCTACTTCTAATTTAAAACTATAAAAGTTCTAACATATTTAGGATCAAGGTCTTCAGAGAAACTGTCTGAACACCTAATTAATACTTCATCAAAATGAAAACTAAATAATTCATTGCACACTTACCAGCTCTGCTATAAAGCAGCTGTATACTTGTGAGCTGAATATCAAAGGAATCATAAGCTCTTTGCATTATCTCCTCGAGTTTGGCCACACCCTGTTTCATAGATGGTAAATCCGAACGACTTTTACTTGTTACCTTCAAGTTAATTTTAATAGTTTAGACTATGCAAAATACTTCAAAATGAAAAGACAAAATTTTTATCTTTCAGAATATAAAAAGTTAATAGGAGAGGATAAACTCACAAGATGACATATATTATAAGGCTATTATTGGGTTGTCAGAAAAGTCATGACGTATTTTTTCTGTTTTTCGTTGCAAAAATGCATCATGACTTTACCGACAACCCGATAGAAAGGTCATTATCCATGGCATGTATAATGAGAAGGTTAGGTATAAAGTGAATTTTTACCTGTTAAGTTATATTTCCCAATTATTTATACTAAAAGGCGAACCAAGCCAGTCTGCAGAATAATGCATTTAAATTTTTAAAAATCTCATAAGCCTTATTAAAAACAAAACAAATATAGCTTATAAAACATTTCTATGTCATGATGACGACTATTTAGATAGCTTTATAATAAAAACTAAGTGTCCAGGATTAAATATTAGGATAGCTGAATTTTGGTCCCACCTCTGCCATTTATACAACCCTAAGCAAGTTATATTGTACTTCCCCTTTATTGGAGAACTATGTACACTACTTTTTTCACATAAACATCCTGGAGATCAGCAGTATATAAAGTGTGTGTGTGTGTGTGTGTGTGTGTGTACAGTATATAAAGTGTGTGTGTGTGTCTGTGTGTGTGTGTCACACACACACACACAGACACACACACACACTTTATATACTGCTGTGGATATAAAGTTCTTATTTACACATATATGTATGTGTACATATATTTTTAACATCTTCCCTCTATTTTATATAGCTCATGTGTACACAATCAAAATTATCTTTTTGAAAGATAATAAACTTTAAGCAAAAGGTTTAGCAAATTTCCTAAGATCACAAAACTAGATCAACACCCTTACTCCTAACCTTATGCTCTTTTTACCATACCATACAGCCTTCAACCTGTTCCACAACCAAATTAAAATATGAATAATTTGCTGTATAAATACTATTGCAACTGTAAATAAAGCAGGTGTCTGCATAATTAACTAAAGAGTAAAAATCTAGAATAAAGGAGAGTGCCACTATCAAGAAAAGGCACACATCTGTGAGGTAGCCAGAAAGAACATTCTAATGTTATCCATCTCTCAAGTCTTTAAATTGTTCTAGTTATCCTCTACATTTAATAATGTAGAGCAGTGCTGTCCAACAGAACATTCTACAATAATAGCACTGTTCTCCATCTGTGCTGATACAGTACCCAATAGCCCCTTGTGACTAGTAAACATCTGACTGTGGCTAATGTGACTAAGAAACTAAATTTTTATCTTCTTTATTTTAACCAACTTAATCAACCGCATGTGACCAGTGGGTACTACATTAAACAGTGAAGATATGGAAACACAAAAAAATTATTGTCTACTCAAAACTAGGGAAGAAAAATGTACATAATAGATAGAAAGGGAAATGACTTAGGTAAATGCAAGATGCTCATTTCTCAATTTAGGATGATTTAATACAAACATAAAATGTCAATATCTAAAGTTATATATACAAAAAATTTCAGAAGAATGAAGATATATTTTATTACTTCCAGTACTTCCTCCCATTCCATATATTTTAATTAATCAAGTAATAAACTTAAATTGAAAAGAAAATAAACTGCTTTGGCATTATTCTCAAATTCTATATATAAATATAATTCTTAGGTTCACCTCTGACCTGCAGAGTTCAAGTGTTCATTTTACTTTTAAAAATATAGGAAAACTACCCAATTAAATAAAATTTGACTGTAAATATTTCTCAAATCCTAGTATTTACCATAAATCTAAAAACCAATATACCAAATCACACTAAAAAACAAAATATATTTTAAACAAAGAAATACCCTAAATGCCATATTCTAAAACAAATATTATTAGTATATACCTTTAAATGACCAAGATCCAAAAGAAGCAGATTTGATGTAGGGCTAAAAATTCCATCTTGTGGGATGATAATATATGAAGCTTTCAAATTAATTTTGAGATCAAGAACTTTCTGTGTTTCAATAATATATAGTAGACCTGCAGAAAATTTAAATCTTCACAGTGAATATTTTTCACAAATTACTCAAGAAATAGAGAATTATTAAATATATGAATTGGTAGCACAGTCTTAAAATAATGTGAAACTAGTATTAATTTTAAAATGCCTTTGAGCTAAGTATTTTCAATATAAAGTAAAAATATTTGTTAGTCAACGTATACATTCCTAATTAAATATAAAATGAGAATAATTCCTCAAATAAATGATTTTAACCCATAAACTCAATTTGGGTAAAACTCGGGAGATAACATATCTAAAAAAATTAAGTTGTATGAAACATTTATTCATAACTACTACATGAGAATCTATATAATTCTTTCCAACTGGTGAATTTAATACAGCTATATCTGCCATACTGAACAAAGATATCTGTTCTGTATGATATTATTGAGACAAGGAAAAATCCTATATTATTAAATCGTCTTCAATAAACCCGTCTATAAACCAAAAAAGGCAACAAACAAAAGTTCCCATTCCTTAGGTATTTAATTCATTTGAGGTGTTTTATTCTAATAAATTTAATCCATTCACTTGCATATGATTTGTATACCAACGTAATCTATTTTATGTTCCGAAGTCCAGCACTGGCTTTTAAATCTAAATTTATTATCAATTATCAAATTATTATGACCCTCTGAGATGGGAACTACTCCTTAAAGACAAAATTCTATAAGCAGTCACTGAATCAGTTTGAATGAATAAACAATGTTCATTTACAAAATTTAGAGGATCTGATATTCAAACAGAAAGGTACCTCAGTTCACAAAAGACAACAACAAAACACCTACATGAGAACTATATGAGGATCAGATTTTTTAAACATGAATTGTGAGCAACTAAAAATAACAATCTAGTATGTAAGTTTTGAATAGCTTAGATTGAAAAAGATTAAGTGATGTAGTTTATTTAATGTGTGTAAGCTCATACTGCAATCAAGATCATGTGCAGTTTAACCGAATATTTTGTTCAAAATAGGTATAGGTTAGAAAAGGTCACAGAGTTGAATAGTAAGGGCAGTGACCAAACCAAAAAGGCCACTGCAAGATGCTGTATGATTTTATAAAAGAACTGACAGAGTATTTTTGTCATGAACAGAATTCCAAAATTCCTAACAAAATTTTGTAATTAACTTCAATGTGGTTAATAGGTTTGACCTGAGTATAAGAAATGATATTTGTTATATCTGCATTTAAATATAAAAGTACAAAACTGTTTCAATTAAACTGTATCTAGTGTAGAAATATACATTTAAAGTATACTTTACTAAAATCAGTTTAAAATTATTAAAAGTTTAGTATAAGATTCAATATTTAATTCACCAAAATTAATACTGGCATTTTTACCTGTTGCTGTCTTGTCCCGAAATTCTTCAAGTTTAGTTAAAGTCGCTGAAGTGAGCTGTGCTAGATTTACCTCTTTTGGAGGTCTGAAGAATTCCACTATACTATTCACTGTTCTCTGTTAAAATAAGTATCATTAAAATTAGGCAAAAAATAAAACCAAAGTGAAATATATTAAAACAGAAACTTAAAAAATGCTTACGGCATCATATATCATTTCTAACGGTTCAGCTTCTATGATACACCTTTGAGCAACAGTTTCATCTAATGGATTTGTCTCAAAAGTAATTTGGAAAAGTGATGTAGCACCATCCAATGAAGACAGGAGGCGGGGTTTTGTTGAACTGTCTGGTAAGCCAGTAACATGAAATGAATCAATTTTGGTTTCAAATCTGCATGAAACAAGATAGGACAAAAATTAGCCATCAATACAATCTTAAAGATGAAAATAATAAAAACTAATGAAAACAATTTCACTTCGAATTCCCCGCTACTCCATTCCACTCATGTCAAAGAAAATAACTACTATTCCATCTGATTTGAAATAGGCTAATTCACAAAGAACCATATTCACATGTTAATTTCCATAAAAAGAGCTATGAAAAAAAGCTATGAAGGTTTAGGGGTCTCCAGTTCCCCATGAAAGGAACTTGGAAGTCACCACTCTACTAACGAGTAAAAAGCTGAATAAACTGAAAATTAACAGCTCTTTTTTGGATATGTAATAGAGGCCAGGACACAGGGCAAACCACTGCCCTCAAGACTGCAGAGACAGGCAGGTGAATACAGGGAGTCACACTTTACCAGAGGAGAAACTCACAAAAGGAAACCCCCACGGACACCAGTGCTAGCTGAGGTTGGAAAACCTGAACTGTAGTTGATGAAGTGCTGGAGACTCAGTGTGGACAGCTCAGAGTTAAAAACTCTAGGGGTTCCTAGTAATAGGGAAGCCTCCACAATGTTGTGAGATATACCTCCAGGACACTGACCAGGTTCCCAAAGAAAATATTAGAAAAAATCCTCTCGTGCTTCAGGCAAGGGGAGGAGAATGAAACCACTTGAAAATATGTCATAGTACTCTGTTTTTGTTAACAAGGCCTGTCCTCTAGAGAAACTAGTTAACCAGAGCCTAACCTGATGAGAGTATTATCACAGCCAAAATGACCTATGGAAGGGAAAAAACCCAGTGCCAGTCAGGTCTACCAATCCATATGGGAGAAGAAAAATACTACCTAATCCAGCCCACTCTAGCCATCCTGGCCCACCTCAGGGGGCAGGAAAAAACTGAGAAACTCATGAAGATCACAGTCCAGACAAAGCTCATTAAAAGAATGAGAGCTAATCATAGGACTACAGAACTTTGCCCTTCTCCCACATCTTACAACCAAATTACTAAAGACCTATTTATAGCAGTTTCTTTTACCCAGTATATCATGTCTGGCTATCAAGAAAAAAATAACAAGGCATACCAAAAGGCAAAAAACACAATTTGAAGCGACAAGCATCAGAACCAGAAATGGTAGAGTGATGAAATTATATGATCAGGAATTTAAAACAACAACAATTGATATGGTAAGGGCTCTAAAGGACAATGTAGACAGCATCAAAAACAGATGAACAATATAAATACAGAGATGAGAATACTAAGAGCGAGCCAAAAATAAATGCTCAAGATAAAAATCACTATAACAAGAATGTCTTTAATGGGCTAGAAGACTGAACACGGCTGAGGAAATTAAACTCCGTACTAGAGAATGTATCAGTAAAATTGGAAAACATACAAAGCAGAGAATCAAGACTAAAAAAACAAAATATCCAAGCACTGGGAGTTAACTAAAGCAGGTACAACTATGTATAATGAAAATAACAATAGAAGAAAGGAAAAAATAAAATATTTAAAATAATATTAAGAATTTCCCCAAATTGTCAGACATTTAACCACAGATCCAGGAAACTCAAAATACCAAGCAGAATAAATGCAAACAAACAAAGAAAAAAAACACTATATACCTAGGCCAATTTTCAAACTACAGAAAATCAAATATAAAGAAAAAAACGCTAAAATAAACCAGAGGAAAAACACCTTACCTATAGAGGAGCAAAGATAGGAATTACATCCATCTTCTCAAAAACCATATAAACAAGAATAGAGTGTAGTAAAAAAATTTGAAGTGTAAAATAGAAAGAAAACAAAAACCCACCTACCTAGAATTCTGTACCCTGTGAAATTTTCCATCAAAAGGGAAGGAGAAATGTTTTCTAAGAAAAACAAAAATTGGGGGAAATTGTTGCCACTAGGCTTGCCTTGCAAAACATATTTTAAAAAGTTCTTTAGAGAGAATAAAATAATGTATGACAGAAATTCAGATCTACATATAGGAAAACTACTGAAGAAGCAAAAAGTGACTGCAAAAATGAAAACTTATTTTTCTTATTCTCTTCATTGATCTAACAGATTGATTAGTGGGTTCAAAATAATAGTAACATTGTATTTGATTACGTATGCTTCTGTATAAGTTTAATATATATATATATATTCTTTTGTATACTTAACTTATATGTATGTGAAATGAAGAGCAATGAGGAACTAGAGGAATAAATTGGGTATTTTTGTTATTATAAGGTACTCATTCTACCTGTGAAATGGTATAGTGTTATTTGACTATAGTGGACTTGGATCAGTTATAAGTGTATATTGAAAGCTCTAAGGCAACCACTATAAAAAGGATTTTTTTAAAAACCTATAACTGATATACCTAAAGGGAGAAAAAATGTAATTGTATAAAGTGCTCAATTAAAACAACAAAAAGCAAAAAAGGCATGAAAAACAAATACAAACTATAAACAAAGGCAACAAATTAAAAAAACAGTAAGAATTATGGTAGATTTTAATATTAGTTGAATAAGAAGAAAAGCCAAAAACTGGGAGAAAAAATTTGCAAAGGACACATCTGACTGTTATCCAAAATTTCCAAAAAAAGCACAAAACCCTTTTAAAACTCAATAAGAGGAAAACGAACAACAAAATTTAAAAATGGGCCAAAAACCTTAACGTATTTTACCAAAGAAGTCATAAAGGTGGCAAATAAGCATATGAAAAGATGCTTTACATCATATATCATCAGAGAAATACAAATTAAAGCAATGAGATACCACTGCACACCAATCAGAAAGGCCAAAATCTGGAATATGACCAACACCAAACAATAGCAAGGATGTGGAGCAACTGAAACTCTCATACATTGCTGGTGGTATGCAAAATGGTACCATTACTTTGGAAAACAGTATGATGGTTTACAACAAAACTAAATATACTTTTACCATATGATCCAGCAGCAATCATGCTCCTTGGTGTTTACCCAAAGGAGATGAAAACATGTCTACTCAAAAAACCCTGCATACTGATTTTTATAACAGTTTTATTCATAATTGCCAAAACTTGGAAGCAACCAAGATGTCCTTCAATAGGTGAATGGTAAAATATAAAACTGGTACATCCAAACAATGTAGTGTTGTAAATGCTAAAAGCAAATGAGATATCAAGCCATGACAAGACACAGGAAGCTTAAGTACATATTACTAAGTTAAAGAAGCCACTGAGAAGGCTACACACTGTATGATTCTCTTTGGTTTGTTTTGACTCCAGGAATTTAAGAAAATCTCTGTCAGTTCACCAGCTAACTGGTAAAATAATAGGATAGAGACTTCAGTGACCACACAGGACAAAAAATAGTCTTTTCAAAAATAGTTTGAAAATTCACTGTGTTAGTTTGCTAGGTCTATCATAACAAAATATTACAAACTTGGTGGCTGAAAGCAAGAATTTATTCTCTCACAGATCTGGAGGCAAGAATTCTGAAATGAAGGTGCCAGCAGAACTGATTTCTTCTGAAGGCTTGAGTGAGAAGGTGTTTCATGCTTTTCTCCAAGATTCTGGTGGTTGATGGCGATCCTCAATATGAGTTGGCTTGTACATACAAGTATACTCATATTATGTCAACCTCTACCTGTCCTTTTATGGCATTCTTTTAGATGTGTCTGTCTTCAAATTGCCTTCTCCAGTCTCCCTGTTTCTTCTGTGTCTGTGTTCAAATTTCACTCTTCTTATAATGACACAAGTCCTTGGATTAAGGCCCACTCTACTCCAGTATGAAGTCATATTAACTCTATTACATTTGGAAACACTCTATTCAAAATGAAGTTACATTCACAGGTACAATTTGGAGGAAACAATTCTACCCACTATAGTAAACAAATAACAGACTACAGCCCTCAACAATCAACAGCAACACACCCAGATGAGGAAAAAAAATCTAATTTGTATAGTTATGCAATTCAACATTCAAAATTTTAAAGAAAACATTACAAAGCATATACAAAAAGAGAAAGGCCAGATATTGTGTTCAGCAGTGTGAAAGAAAAACAGCAAAACTGGGTTAATATTCTCAAGAGAGTAATTTAAAATAGAGCAGGGAGGCCACCAGGAAGCTGAGCTACATCTCCCAGCACTTGTTAGCACAGAGTGGTGACTTCCAAACTCCTGTAAGTCTGTTTACCAGCACCAATCACAATTCTTGCAAAGCAACTTGTTTAACCCCTTTGAGAGCCCCCCCTTTTACTATCTTTATAAACTGTCCTTTTCTTTCCCCGTCAGAACACATTTGAGGTTTCCCACCCCAAATCTGAGTCTCCAAATCGCAATTCCTACAAGACCACCAAATAAAGCTCTTGTATTCCTTGTAGTTCTTGGACAAAATTCATTGACACTAGACAAAGATGTTAAACAAGCTGCCTTAAACATGCTCAAAGAGCTAAAGAAAATCTTGGACAAAAAACTAAGCAAGTCCAGGAAAACAATGTACAAAGAGAGTATAAATAAGGAGATATAAGGGGGGGGAGGTGGAAAAAAGGAGGAGGAGAAGAAGAAGAGGAAGAAGAAATAATTTTGGAGGTAAAAAGTACAGCAGTTGAAATGAAAACCCACTCGAGTTGGTCAACAGCAGATTTGAGTAGCCAAAAGTAAGAACCATGAACACAAATATAGGACAAGTAAAAGTATTGTGAGTCTAAGGAACATAAAGAAAAAAAGAATAAAGAACAATGAACAGCACCTACAGTGGGAGACCATTAAGCAGACCAACACACGTATTCTGGGAGCTCCAGAAGAAAATAGAGCAAGAAAAAGAATATTTGAAGAAATAATGGCCCATAACTTGTCAAATTTGATAAAAGCCATTAATCTAAACAGCCAGGAAGCCAAACAAACTTTAACTAGGATTATGTCAAAAAAGACCAACACAGAACACATAATCAAACTGTCAAAAGCCAAAACAAAGAGAAAAATCTTGAAAGCAGCAAGAGAATCAACTTATCACAAACAAAGGATACTTAA